CTTTCCCAAGTTTCCTTATATGTGCATCTCTTCCTTCCACTTTCTTTATACTTGTCTCACTCAGAAAAAGAAATGCCCATTAATCCCTACTGTTAGGGACCTCTGATGGTCTAGTGGTAAGGAGCTGTGCTACCAACCCAAAGCACACGGTTTGAATTCCTTAGCTGCTCAATGGGAGAAAGATGGACATTCTCCTATAGTGCAATTTATTGCCACTGGAAACCTGCTGGAGGGCCAGCTATGAGTCACTTCCGACTCACTGGTATCCAACAGCAGCGACAATCCCCACAGACAGGATTTCTCTACCAGAATAGCAGTGGAGAAACAGAAAAATGCAAAAATCAAAAGTTTGGCCACAATTACACATAACCCAACAGTTTGGCTCTCAAAACAACCACTTGATGAAGGAACTGATCAATAGCTCAACCGTTCTCAAGTCCTTCAATATCATTATAATTTTTTTTAGTTAGTCAAAGTTAGAGGATAGAGGACTATGATACACAAGCCACTAGAAGCTCATAAAATCAATTTACTTGATCACAGTGGTTTTTTTTTAAATGTGTCCGAATAGATTAATAAAATCAGAATACCTTGCGTATGGTTTGCAGTAGCAAAGTGTTATTCTGTAAAATGTGTGGCCAACTACTTGTTGAAAGCTTAGCAATTCAGATTCAACCAAGTGTCTCAGAAGACAAAACTGGCTGCTGGCTTCCCAAATGTCACAGCCTTGAAAACCCTGCTTTGAACACATGAGGTCACTGTGAGACAGAGTCTGCTACATCATCCTCTAATACCATCATTTCTTACTATGGGCTCTGATATGGAAGCTAAAAATATACAAATAAAAAAAAATCTTTCTCTCTTATTAAGAATGTGTGATCCTCTGTTTCTGAGCCTGGATCAGATTGAGATACTTTCTAACAGAAATATAAAATATAATGATAATATATATACCTTAAAGATTCCTTTTCAGAGGACATTAATGAGTCCTAGATAAAATATGTATATGGTGAAAGCTCCTGGGAACTTGTGTAAACTGGGGTTTATGTAGAAGGCTGTATTCCACCCTGAAATTCCACAGAGATAGCTCAGACACTCTCAAGCCCCCTGCCTGCCATTGCTGCACTCCTGTTTCTGCAAATGATGGCCCTGGAATGGAGCTAGACGTCTGAAGGAGGGGAACCCAGGCAGGACAAGGCTACCCTCGAGAGAGTTTCCACTCCTCTCTCCGAAATGCTTTAGGTCAATGACTTTTCAAATATTGATGTGATTGGTGCAAGATTGAATTCCTTATATTAAAATTTGTGTACAGAGGACTAAAGGTAAAAAGATTGTTTCATTAGGTCTGATGAATTTCCCTCTGGAATTGGTCCTTTTTTAAAAAAGGGGGAGTAAGCAGGAGAAACTTCTATGAAATGTGGTATTTACAGTTCACCTATCTCATCTTTATCAACTCTAACATGATTTGTTTTCATGGGATTTAAATCTGATACTTGTTGCAGTTGTTAGGGTGCCTTCAAGTTGCTTATGACTTTAATGACTCTACTAACAACAGATCAGAATCTCGCCCTGTCCTACACCATCCTCACCATAACTGACAGGCTCTCGTTCATTGTTTAACAGTCACTATGTCTGTTCGTCTTGTTGGCGGGAGTCTTCCGCTCTTACTTTGACACTCCACCTGCCACAGTATATTGTCTTCTTTCAAGGACATTTGTTGTTGTTGTTTGGTGCCGTCGAGTCGTAGATAACTCATAGCGACCCTATGAATGAATGGCCTGAGCACTGTTTGTACTTAGAGTTTCTGGAGGCAAGTCTTTCAGAAGTGGATGCCGCTCCTGCTTCCAGGCTTCAAGGACATTTAGAATCCAAAATTTTACCCTGTCTATTCCCCTTACTGTTGTTGTTAGGTGCCCTGAGTCAAGTACAACTCATAGTAACCCTATGAACAACAGATCTGAATCCTATCCTATCCTGTGTCTTCCTCACCATCTCTGATATTCTTGAGCCCATTGCTGCAGTCATCATGCCAATACATCTCGTTGCAGATCTTCCTTTTTCTCACTGACCCTCCAACTTCCAAGCATGATGTCCCTTTACAAGAAATAGGCTCTTCAAACACTATGTCCAAAGTAGGAGAGTCAAAGCTTTGCCATTCTTGCTTCCAAAGAGCATGCTGGCTGCACCTTTTCCAAGACATACCTGTTCAACACCTTTTGGCAAGCCAAGGGATATTCAGTACGCTTCTCCAACACCACAACTCAAAGGCTTAATTCTTTTCCCATCATCCTTATACAGAGCAAAGTAAACTATTGTATGCAAATTTGCTGACACCTAGTGGGTAAAAGTTAAGAATAATTACAGGTACAATTCTTTGTGGTGTAACACAGTTCTTTATAGTGCTCTTCTCTTTATTGCACTTTTTATAGACTAAGTTTTTACAAATTGAAGGTTTGTGACAATCTTCTATTAAGCAAGTCTTACTGGCATGTACTCAACTTTATATCTCTGTGTATAATTCTTATGATATTTTAAACTTTTGATATAGAATTGTTTCTTTCATTATTTATGTTGGATTATTTTAAATTTTTATTCATTTATTGCTGTGCATTTTCTTCCTTCCACCTCCCTACCCTTTTCCCCAGTCCACTTTGCAATCCATCTCTTATTCCAGATTGTTTTCTGCTTTTGTTGAATGCTATTGAATGCAATTCATAGTGACTATATGAAAAACAGAACTAAACGCTGTCCTATCCTGCGCCATCCTTATCCTTTCTGATATTCTTGATTCCATTGCTGCGGCCACTGTGTCATTCCATCTTGTTGAGGGTCTTTCTCTCTTTCACGGATCCTCCACGTTTCCAAGCATGATGTCCTTTTCCAAGGAATAAGCTCTCTTAACACTATGCCCAAAGTATGTGAAATGAAGCTTTGCTATCCTTGTCTCTAATGAGTACTCTGCCTGCACTTTCCCCCAGAGATACCTGATTGTTTTATTGCCAGTCTAAGGTACACTCAGAATTCTGCTCCAACACCACAGCTCAAATGCATCAATGTTTTTCTGCCATGTTTATTTACTATCCAAACTCTCAGGTGCATAAAAGAAGACCACTGGCATACCTTAGTCTTTAAACTGACATCATTGCTCTTCAGGCCTTTGGAGAGGTTCTTGATGGCAGACTTTCCAAGTACTATATGTCTTTTGATTTTTTGACTATTTATACCAATGGTGTTGATTGTAGATCCAAGCAAGATGAAATAATTGAAAACTTCAAATTTTCTCCATCTGATGTTGCCTCTTGATCTGGTGGTGAGGATCTTTGTTTTCTTGATGTTGAAATATAATTCATATTGCAGACTGTAGTCTTTTATCTTCTGCAACTTGTGTTTCAAGTCCTCTTCACTTTCACCAAACAAAGTTGTGTGGTCTTCATAACAGAGGTTGTTGATGAGTCTTCTTCCAAACCTGATACCACATCCTTTTTCATGAAGTCGAGCTTCTTGAGTGATTTGTTCAGTATACAGATTGAACAGTTATGGAGAGAAGATCAAATGCCTTTCTTGATGTTAAACCATGTAGTATTTCCTTGTTCTGTTTGAACAACAACTTCTTGGTCTGTGTATAGGTTTCACATAAGCACAATTAAGTGTTCTGGGATTCCAATACTCCTCAATGTTAGCCATAGTTTATTGCTATCCACACAGTCAAATGCTTTTGCATACTCAATAAAACACAAATAGACATTTTTCTGCTATCCTCTGCTTTCAGCCAAGATCTATCTGACATCAGCAATTATACCTCTGGTGCCATGACCTTTTCTAAACCCAGCTTGAATCTCTGGCGGTTTTCTCTCAATGTTTTTTGGATAATCTTCAGGAAGATTTTGCTTGTTTGCGCTATTAATGATATTGCTTGATAATATCCACATTCTGTTGGATCACCTTTCTGGGTAATGAGAACAAGTACACATATCTTCTAGTCACTTAGCCAGGAATCTCTCTTCCAAATTTCCTGGCACAGATTGGCAAGCATGTCTAGGGCTGCATCTCTTAGTTAAAACATGTCAATTGGTATCCCATAGGTTCCTGGGCCATTTTATTTTTTTCCCAATGCCCTCAATGCAACTGAGACTTTTTCTCTCATCACCACTGACTCCTGATCATATAATACTTCCATGTTAACCAATACTTTCTGGTAGAGAGATTTTGTGTATTCCTTTCATCTTCTTTTGATGCTTCCTTGATCATTCAAGATTTTTCCTATAGCATCTCTAAGCATTGCAACCTGAGGCTTGATTTGTTTTTCAGTTCTTTCAGTTTGAAAAATGCTGAGCAAATTCTTCCCTTTTTATTCTTCAACTCTAGGTCTCGGCATATTCCATTATAGTAGTTTCTTTTTCTTCTGGAGCTGTCTTTTGAAATCTTCTGTTTATCTATGACATATTTTCTCCTTGGTTTTGACTTCTCAAAGCTCTAGTGCAATTTTCAGAATCTCTTAATTAGACTACCTACCAGCAAATCCAAACCCATTGCCCTAGGTAAAGTCTTACTCATAACAAATCTTCACCAGATTTCCAAGACTATCCATCTTTCTCTTGTGTGGCTACTAAGAATAATTTCTCAAATGGGTGACAAAAGAAAATTGTGATTGGTTTCCAACTTTCTTTGGAGAATACAGGCTTGCATTCCTACAGTCTAATGCTTAACTAAAGAGAAAGTTTGCCAGATGGATTTAATCAATCCTGATCATTCCTCTCTCCATTTCCAGACAAAGCAAAAACATATTCTAGGCTAAGACTGCCTAAGTGTGCTCATGAAAGTACCAAAGTGCACTGTTTGTTTTGCTTTGGGGAAAGAGCTTAGATTGGAGAAGCAAGGAAAGAACAATTGTGGGGTTTTTACAATATATTGGGTGCTATGCTAGGAATTTCTCTTACTGGGAGTATAAGAGTGGTAGAGTTATGGGAAACCTTCAAAGTGTTTTCTATTACTTTTTTCAGATGATGTGACTTCTGTGACCCCAGAAACATTCACAGATGATATAAGTAAGTTATTTCTGTTCTGGTTTTGCTTTATTGTTGTTATGTGCCATCAAGTGGCCTGCAACTCATAGTGACCCTATAGACAATAGCTTTGAACCCTACCCTATCCTGAGCCAGTCTTACTGTCTCCTACACACCAACCTCCATCACCCCAGTTACGGTGTCAATTCATCTCATCCAGGCTCTTTCTCTTTTGCCCTGACTCTCCAACCTTCCAAGCATGATATCCTTCTCCAAGGACTGGTTTCTCTTGGCAACATGCCCAAACATGAGAGATGAAGCTTTAAAATCTTTGCCGCAAGGGAGCAACATTTATTCTAGGGATAGAATGATTGAGGATGGTGTTAACATGAAGAAAAAGAAAAGCTTGATGGGCACTGGGTTCCTTTCAGTAATGATGTTAGTTGCATTTCAGACAGCTTCTAACTCATGGAGACTGAGGTTCAATGGAATGGAAATTGTGCCATCCTTATGATAAGTTAGAGATCAGATAATCTATAGGGTTTTATTGGTATTTTCTGATAATGAATCACCAGATCTTCCTTCCTAACCTGTCTTAATCTGAGAAGGACATCATGTTTGGGAGGGTAGAGGGCAGGAGGGGAAGGCCCTCTAGGAGGTGGATTGATTTGGTGACTGTGGTAATCATGATGGGTGTGTTGGAGACAGTGAGATTGGCACAGGACAGAGCAGAGTTTAGGGCTGTTGTGAGTTGCAAGCGACTCGACGGCACATAAGAACAACAACAACATACTGAAATTTATCACTATAGTGGCATTCTAGCTTCTACAGACAGGAGGTAGCTGAGAATTGAAGCTTAAGTCATGATGTTGTTGAATCAGGTTTACTGTAATTTCATGGGCAACAGAATGAAACCCTGCACTGTGCTACCTCATCCTCACAATCTCTGCTGCACTTAAAGCCATTGATGACATCAATCCATTTTGATGAGGGTCTTTCTATTTTTTGCCAAACTTCCACTCTTCCATATGTGAAGTCCTTCTGCAGGGATGAGATAGTCCCTTACATTATAGGTCTCCTTTTGAATCATCATGCTTCTTGCTTCTTTTTTTGTGTTCCTATTCACTCTATTTTGCATCTTTTCAGATCTGGTAAATGATCCAGCCACAGATGAAACAGGTGAGTCTTATGGCAATCTGGAAGAAATGGCATGATTTTTGTTGATATTCACAATGCCAATTCCAACTCTGGGATTAAGTCTATGTTTTTATCTCTGGGAAATGATAAAGAAAGGGGTTGTGGGAGAGATGTTCAGTGACAATGGGATACAAGGAATAAGGGACTGTCTAGCCCTCTGAGAAGAGGGAATAAAATGGGTTAATATGTAAAATAGGTCGTAGATAATACAGGCTCCCACAAATTAGTATTATGTCAATAGGACCAATATTCTTCAGCACATATTTATAATTAATTAATTTGACTCCCTTTGGTATAACACACAAACCGACCCATAGCCTTGACCCTACCACTAATATCTTCATTTTCCCTTATTCTTTTCTACCTTCCTCTCTTGCTGATTCAAAGCCCTCCTCATGTCTGCTGTTTTGTGCCTTTTCAGTTCTGGCTGATATCGAGCCTTCCACAGATGACCTGGGTGAGTTCAGATCTGGAATTCTAGCACTAGCAGGGCCATTCTGACTTTTTCCAGGGTCCATATGGAAGACAATGCAGTTGGTGAAGATCCTAAGTAAATAAGATTATAGTTTATGTAGCACATTCTTCATATCACTCAAATTACTAAATACTTTGAGTCCCTGAATGCAGGCATTGATTGAGTTAAGTGTCTGATACAAGATAACAAAGCAAGCTCTTTCTTTTAATGATTCCAAAATTTTGGGTGGAGTAAAAGGGAAACAAGTCTATTTAAACATCTTTGGGAAGACTTAGAGTGACACATCCGTCCAAGGACAGGGTGGCCATTCCAGCTGCAGAGATGGGCAAGAAGGGAGGCAAAAATCACTAACTAGATAGTAAACATATATTAACTGTGAAAGGAAAGACAATATACAATAAGAGTGGTCAGTGTAATGCTGCCAAGGCAGGACAAGACACTGGGAGGTGCCCAAGAGGGTCATACAATTTGAAAAGGGGGGGGGGTAAGAAAATGGGAAAGATCCAATGGGAAAAACAATGTATTAGAACTTTGTAAATAAACCAGTATAAAAGAAAAAAAAAGAATAAAAAGATAAATACAATTATGCATACAATGATTCTGCAGTAAGAATAATAACAAATAATAATTTATAAGTATGTATGTTTGACAAAGGCTATTCTACATATATATTACAAATATATCCATATGTATAGTGAAAGATATGGGGGGGAAAACCATCAACAGCTTCTTAGTCATAATTAAATACCTTGAGGGATTAACTGAGCTTGGAGATTTAAGGCCATAGCCCCAGGTGACATCTAGAGCAGTAGGCATAATATGATACACAAAGAAAATGTTCAACATCCTACTGCCTTTGAAAACTAGTTGGAGGGTCAGCTCTATGAATTGGTTCTGACTCAAAGACACACAACAACAACTTTGGTGAGCAGGGACTTATATTTAAAAGCTACAACTATTGGTCTTTCTCCCTTGTCTGGAGCCAAGAGAAGAATTCAAGAAAACAATTTGTTTGAAAGACTAATTCACCCTAGGAACCACAGCCTGTGATCAGAAAAAGTAGATGATGCCTGGTTATCACTATCAAACGAAAAGATTCACATTAAGAGTTCTTGGACAGAGTGGGAGAAACTCAGTAACTAGCATTCTTCATCCTCTAAGTCCTTGAAAATAAGACTTGTATATATTTTTTTTTGACTTGTATATATTTTTAACCTTCCAAAATTTTTAGCACCTATTTGAACACATCAAGAGAAAGAACTTATCAAGAAAAATCAGACTTGATAAAAAACCACAAAGAACAAATGGGTTATATGAACCATAGCCTCCCTCTAGTGGCCTGAGACCAAAATAGATGGTGCCCAGTTATCATTCTTAACTGTTCTGATAGGACCACAGCAGAATGTCCTGAACAGAATTGGGGGGGGAAATGTAGAACAAAGTTAAAAAAAGAGTAGAAAAGACCAGACTTGCTGACCTAATAAAGACTGCAGGATGCCCTGTGTATGGGCTTTGATCAAACCTGCAGCTGAACTCATGCCCGGGGTACACCTTTCTGCCAAACAGTACTCAAACTCAAAATCACTACTGTCAAGGCAGAACTGACTCGTAGCTGACCCTCCAGGGTTTCTGAGGCTGTAAATAACATGGGAGGAGATTTCTATCTTTTCCTGAAGAATCACCAGAGAGGCATGGCCTTTGGGTTAGTAACCCAACTCTTTACTGATTAGAACACCAGAGCTCAGCTAAACAACACTCAGGGCTATAAAACCTTGAAGGCTGTACTCTTTAGAGAAATTAACCAAGGGACACCCAAAAGGCAGCATTTGCATTTTCTAACCAAAGCTTAGAAAGAAGGAAGGGTCAGGAAAGGACTAATGAAAATAGGGAACCCAAGGAGGAAGAGAGAAGAGTGCTGTTCTATTAAAAGAATTGCAAGTAATGTCACAAAGCAAGAGGTTTGTGAATTATTGCATGGAGAAGAAATTTGTGCTGTAGACTTTCACCCAAAGCACAAATGAAAAAACAAACAAACAAAAAAGGCATTAACATAGGAAGTTAGCTATAGTTTATAGAGTTGAAGCTAGATGTCTCAGCTTCAACTGACTATATACAGACAAGTTGCAATTATGTGTGTATTGATATACTTTGCATATATTTATTAAAGAGAAAGACTTCAAGCCTATAAGACAAATATTTTGTAGTAGGAATTCTACATAATGTTTCTCATTAAGACTTGTTAAAAATAAAACAAAAAAGGAGGATATGAGAAATTAGAAAAGAAGGTAGAAACAAAATTATTTTAATATTTATTGAAAGCATTTTGATTGGTTCTAAAGATATAAAGATGAAAAAACAAAAGCAAATCCAACTCAAATTCACTTTCTCCTGCTAGTTGTGTTCTGTATTGTAGGTGAGTGAGCAGATAATTTAATTCAATGACTCAAATGCTATAATCAGTGTAAGTAAACAGAGTTAGGAAAGCAGCTAGAAAGGTGCATCACCTACACTCAGTAGCGAGGATTTAAGGAAAGGTCACATTTTCTAGAAGTCATCTTTGTTAAGTAAATTCTTTAAAGACAAGTAGAAGTTAACCAGATAAAGAGATGGGAATTCCCTTAGGATGGAAATTAAAGCCAAGAGGAAAAGACATCTACAAGTAGTGATTCTAATCACATTTATGCATTGAAAAGATCAATACCAAAGGCGATATGGGAAATAAAGTTAAGCCTGGAACCAGGACTAGTGAAAAGCTATTACAGTAATTTCAATGAAAGGTGATGGCTGAATCTAGAAAGAGGAAATGAGAACTGAGGATAATTGAGTGTGTGAAGCAAAAGGAATTCTTGAGATAAAGACATGTGAATGTGGCTGTTGTACAAAGTCACTGTAAAACACCTTGAGTGGACAAAGGAAAGATAAACTGTTGAATCTGGTTTGAGATACAAATTTGAAAGGTCTTTGAAAAATTTAAGAACTCTGAGATTATAAAGTAAGGAGCTCTGGTGGCCTAATGGTAAAGGAGTTGTACTCCAAACTCAAATGCAAACAGTTCAAATACACCAGCTATTCTGTGGAAGAAAGATACCCATACTCTTTGGAGTGGTTTACAGCTGACAGAAAAGCAACACTGATCTCTTTGATGTGTCCTCTATTCAGAGAACTAGATCCATATTTAATTTGTCCCTACCTTAGTTTTGGCCACGACTTTAACTGCATATTCTTTACCCGACTACTTTTATCAAAGAGCTTTGGCAATGTATTTAATCTACAAAGAATTTTTCTCTTATGAAGAGAGGCTTCTACAGGATAATAACCCTTTCTCTTGTTTGCCCTTGGATAAAGTTTTTCACCGCATATGACACATTATTTTCATATTCAATTTGATCCTTACCAACAATAAAGATATCCTTAATGGAAAAAGCACATCACTCGTATTTAGCAGTGGGAAATAGGAAAATTCACTTTTCCTGGAAGTCTCTGGGATAGGAAAAAAAAAAAAATCCAAAACACTGTCATGGATTTGATTCAAACTCATTGTGAATCTATAGAATAGAATAAAATTGTTCCTCTGTAGAGTTTCTGACTTTTAATCAGAAAGTGAATAGGGATGACAGGTATTGTTGTTACGTGCTGTTGAAATGACCCTATGTATAACAGCCCTAAACCCTGCTCTATCCTGTGCCATTCTCACTCTCACCTACCCCCACTACTCCAGTCACCGAATCAATCCATCTCATCAAGGGTCTTCCTCTCCTGCACTGTCCCTCCACACTCCCAAGCATGATGTCCCTCTCCAAGGACTGGTCCCTCCTCGCAACCTGTCCAAAGTATGTCAGACGAAGCCTCAGAATCCTTGCCTCCAATGAGCAACCTGGTTTCACCCTCTCCAGGTAAAATCTGTTTGTTATCATTGCAGTGTATGGTATACTCAATACTCTTCTCCAATACCACAGCTCAGAGGCATCAATTCTCCTTCTGTGACAGAAGAAGAAGAATTGATGCCTTTGAGCTGTGGTGTTGGAGAAGAGCAAGAACATCTCCTGGATGGCCAAAAGAATAAACAGGTATGTCTTGGAGAGGACGTTGCCGAAGAGCTCTTTGGAGCTTGTTGCATGGATGGGTTATTCTTTGGAAAGGGAAATGATGCTTGGTAGGGTGGAGGGTTGATGAAGGAAAGGAAGACCCTCAATCAGGTGGATTGACATGATGACTACCTCAATAGGCTTTACTTTGTGTTAGGAAATGTGAGGATGGCATAGGATAGTACAGGGTTCAGATCCATTGTTCATAGAGTCTCTAATGAGTCATACTTGACTTGACGGCACCTAACAACAATGACAACAACAATAATAGTGTTTCTGAAATTGTAGAAAAGAAGCATACTGCCTCATCCTTCTCCTGCCAGGTGGCTGATAGATTAGAACTATCAATTTTCAGTTAGCAGCCCAACATTTACTCTATTACACTATCTGGGCTCCTTCCAGGAAAGAAATAAGGTCAAACAAAATCTGATTTTTCATCCAAACTCTTGTGACATTATATGTTTAAATATTTGTTCTCTATTCATGGATAATCTAAAGTAGATCTTAAATGAGGCATGGTAGATACAAAGATGGAACCTTCTGGAATTAATAACTGAATAAAATTTCTGCCTTTCAGCCTTACCTAACGACAGAAATACTACCACAGGTAAGATGGTCTTTTGCATGTCTTTTCCTTAATTTTCCTTCCTATACTCTCCTTGTAGATACTTATGTATCTTTCACTTTACTTCCAATTATTTTTAAATTTTTTAAAAACTTTGAGGAATTTTATTATTATAAAATATCAAACTTCTCATAAACTAATATGGACTTCAAAATTAGTCTTACACTTACTTAATTTTTAAGCTTGACCTTCTAGTTTCCTTCTTTAGTTTCACTGATTTCAGCTACTATACAAAGAAATCCTTCCTTGCCTGGGTGATTTAAGAACATAACTCAGAGTTGAATATCTCTTAATTTTCCTTTATTGGTGGTAGAGCTTTTATAAATATTAATGATGCTGGCATTTTACATTCAAATCCAGTTTTGTAATAGCCATTTCTAAAGGCATATTTTAGTAGACTTTATAAAAACTTGTTTTACTTGAGGCTACATATGCTTTATGGCCTATAAGGCATAATGACCTGCAAAACAAATTGGAACACCAATAATCAGTCCAGCTGCTACCACTGTTCCTCACATTCCCTTTTTCTTTATTAAAAATAAAGACTAAAAACTATGAAGATAAAGAGTATGGCCACTGTTGAATGGTTCTGCAATAATACTTTTCATGAAATACCTTTGGACTTTACTTAATGGCTAATGAGTTAGAAGTTAAGATCAATTGGGCTAAAATAGCTTTCCCCAATATGCTGGAGAAGATTACTGAACACACCATGAACTGCCAAAAAAGCAAACAGGTCTGCTGGAGTGAAACCAGGTTGCCCCTTGGAAGCAAGAATTTTGAAACTGTCTCCCATACTTTAGGAATATTGTCAGGTGGGACTAGTCCTTAGAGAAGGACATCATGCTTAGAAGGGTAGAAGATCAAAGCAAGTGAGAAAGACCCTAGATTAGATGGACTGACACAGTGACTATGGCCAGTGAGGGCAGGTGTTTTGGAGATGGTGAAGTTGGCTTAGGATAGGATGACTCATAGGGTCATTATGAGTTGTAGTTGACCCGACAGCATGTAGTAACAACGTACTGATAATCCTGAGTTGAAGTTACTACTGAAAATGACCAAAACAGAGAAATAGTGATCTGCCTGAGAGCTCTCAATCTTCAGAATGAAGGATTGAGTAATTGAATAAAGTATTTCATATTGTGCCATGGATAATCTTAGACAGACTTTTTACCGGTAGAATCATCAGGGATTATTTTATTGCATTCCTGCTTCCAGGTAAGGATGTACTGACATGTAATACTAACTGCATTCCTATGGTTCTCTTTTGCTAAGCGCAATGGCCTGCTGCAATTTACAATGATACCTTAGAGAGCTTACTTAGGGTGTCCCTTCTTCCCCCTGCCCAATTACATCCTCTTTAACACTTTGGTATTTTTTAAGGCTAATAAAAATAGTCTAAATTTTATTGAAAGAATTATGGGCACTTAATACAGTACTTCTAAAGCTCTATCAGTAAAAAAAAAGTTTTTTTAAATTAATTTATTGTGATTTTCATGAAGGTTTATAGAAAAGTTGGGTTTTCATTCAAATATTCATTGTTGTACATTTCCCTCTCTTTCCTCTTCTGCAGTAAATTTTGCAATGCACCTCTTGTTCCAGATTGTTCTCTCTACCACTTTAATCCACTGCTATGCCATTCCTATTTGCAACTTCTTGTTTTTTTGTCTTGGAATTCCTCAGAGTGCCGAGATGAGAAGTTTCCTTGTACAAGACTATACTCTGTGCACCGACCAGTCAAACAATGTATTAATCAGTTATGCCTTACCAGGTAAGGGATCCCAGAAATCCCAAAGAGCTCTTCCATGGTAGGGTTTTCACATCAGGAACTATTTAATTGAATACCCTCCATTGAATTGCAATATCTGATAGAATGAGAATTTTGAACACAACCTTCCTAGCTATTCTTGAGGATGCTAGTTAGAACCTGGAGTGTTGGTTGAGGTCTAAGAGAATGGCTCACAAAATTAGGTGTTAGAAGACAGTTGAACATGAGAACTGGAAAAATAAGAGTTGTGAGGGAAACACTGTTATACCGATGCATTACCTGATGGAAGCTGAAGTCTCTAACACCTTGGGTGGGGGAAGTCCAAAATACTTAAGGAAATACAGATTAAGGGACAGGGGGAAGTCCAAAATACTTAAGGAAATACAGATTAAGGGCCAGGGGGAAGAACCTAGATTAATCCTTCTCAATGCCTTTGCTGTCTCTTTCCTTCACTATGACCATGAAACTGTGGTAGTTTACGCCGCATGTACATCATCAACAATGAAATATGCTCCCGTCTTGTCTGTAAGGAACATGAAGCTATGAAAGGTAAGATGAAGTCTGGTGTTTAGTGGGGAGGGACAAGCATGAGAAATGGATATGACCCTATTGTAGAATGAGTACAAGGATCCAAGGTGGGAGTGGGCAGAAGCAGAGGGACGAGAATGTATAGAAGAAGGGAGGATTAATCATGGAGTTGTACAGTTTGATGGGTGGGGGGAGGTGAGGGAAATGAAAGAATCTGTTCTAGAAAACAATGTATTAGAATTTTTTAAATAAACTAGTATTTAAAAAACTAAAAAAGGGGGTGGAATAATAAGGTAAGAAAATGAGTTCTAATTATTTCCATTCAAAGTTATACTCGAAGTTCTAGCCAGTTCAGTAGCAGAGGAAAGAAGAAATTAAAGTTATTGTCTTGGAGAGGGTGAAACCAAGCTGCCCTTTAGAGACAAGAATTTTGAAGCTCCGCCTCACATCCTTTGGGCATGTGGCCAGGAAGAACCAGTCATTGGAGAAGGACACAATGCTTGGAAGTGTGGAGGAACAGCACAGGAGAGGAAGACCTGGATGAGATGAATTGACACAGTAACGAGTGCAGTGGGGCTAGGTGTGTCACAGAGAGTGAGACTGGCTCAGGAGAGGGCAGGGTTCACAGCTATTGTGCAGAGAGTCGCTATGAGTCGCAGGTGAAGTGATGGCACATAAAACAACAACAACAACACCAACAACAACTCAAATGGGGGAAATGTCTAAACTAAAATAAACCATGTTCATGGACTCAAGAGAACCAATATTGTTATGATACTAAGTTATCAGTTCTCTCTAAATTGATCCATAGACCCATGACATACCCATCAAAGTTCTAGTAGTATTTTATAGAAATGTACTTTTAAAAAAAATATCCAAAATTCTGTTTATTTAAGTAATTTCCATTCATCTTGATTTTTTTTCTTAATGCTGCTTCCATCTGAAGGAGCATCCTTCTGTAAGCCTTGCTTTTCCTGCTGTAACCTGACAGAGAACAGTGGAGCAGCCAACACACAAAACTCCTGTTTGGGCATGTCTGAAGACTGTGGTGATGATTTTATAGCATCCTGGACATTTCACATCCATGAAATAGAAATTCAAGCTCTGCACCAGGCGCTTCTTCTTGTGTTTCCCTTTCTTCTCTTCTGGAGATCCTTTGAGAGAGGCAAGTTGGCCTGTGGAGGTCACTGCCAGAAAAGGCTATAGAAATGTACTTCATGCTGTTGTTTGATGGCATTGAGTTGACTACACCTCATGGCAATCCTGTGAGATTTGTTAATCTGGGTCTTGCCAAGTCCTGCACCATCCTCACCATATATCTCTTTCATGATCAAGCTTGTTGTCATAGTCACTGTACCAATACACCTCATCTCATGAAGAAGAAGAAATGTACTAGTTAATTCTAAAGTTTATGTGAAAACCTATAGGATTTACTGTGTCAAGAGATGCTTAATAAAGAACAATGTTGAAAGAAAGAAAGAGAGAGAGAGAGAGAGAGAGAGAGAGAGAGAGAGAGAGAGAGA